ATTACCCCCCATTTACGGTTTAACCAAATTTAATTTTTAGGGTCCCCCCCCCCCCGCCCCCCCCCCCGCGCGGTCCCGTCACCGTTCTATCAGAGACGATTCCGAGTTCAAGTGCGACAACTGCGGCGAAATCATCAAGATCCGCCGCGCGGACTTGCGCGCTCGTACCCTCCCCAAGTTGTAAGATAAGAAGAAAATATCCCAACGTCGCCGGCCCGCGTGTCCACCGCTCCCCTCGGCGAAACACGAGAACGTCGTTGGTTGGGGACAAGGTCGCGCCGACTTTGGAAGCTCGCGTCTTTCCACCTGACTGGGGCACAGTGGCCACCGGGCGGGGGCGACGCATATGTTGCCCCCCCCCCAGTCTAGCGGTGTGTGCTTCCAAGAGAGGGAGGGGGCATGGTGTTTGTGTCTAACAGGGGGGCACCGCGGATTCCCAGCTAGATACCAGTCTTGTGTGGAGGCCCGCGGAAGTGAGTGTAGGGCGTATGTAGAAGTTGAGCCAGGGGGCGGAGAGAATAGACACATACAGAGCGTGCCGTTTACCATGCAAGGAGAGGAGTTAACCGTCACGTCTTGGTGGCAAGAGCTGCATACCGCGCCGGGACGGGCAGATAAGGGGTAGTTACCACATGATACGCCGTAGCCCCCAACCCATGGCCGAATGGATTGTTTTTTTCGGTCCTTCGACGATCCCTGTAGCGTATCAGCGAGCGAGGTCAGAGAGAAGGTAGGAGGCTTGACAAGGATGTCGGATACGCCACCGATGTGGCTATCGCCTTTGTTTCTGAAGTGTGTGGGGTGAATGAAGACCGCAGAAAGGGCATTTTGCACGTACGAGTGGTTTCGTTTTGTTTGTTGTTTTTCCCCGAGAGGGCTCTCTCCCTGTGGCGTTTGGCGGAGCCATGGTAAGCGGCGGTTCAAGGCTCTTAGAACTCGATTCTCTTCGAACCCGATTCGCCCCCGTTCATTTGGGGGCAGGACAAGACGATATAATAGTAGTCTAGACGAGAGATGGACGCCCTCAGGTTGGGAGTAGGGGGGGCGTCCTTTATGTTGCACCGCGAAGAGGGGATGGGACATATGCATACATGTGTAGCTTGACACCATGCGCGTGCGTGGGACGGATATCTCCGCTGTTTCGGCAACACAAGCGTAGACGTAGAGAAAACAAAAGAGCTCAAGGACGAAAGCGATTCAACTGGTTAGTTTCCATGCATTGCCACGCCATGTCGGTGTGTCTTGGCCAAGTCAGCGTGGATCAATAAGAGAGAGAGAGAGAGCTTCGTGCGCACTGTTTAAAAACAACTTACGACCAAGGCCTTTTGAGTTGCAACTGCGTGGCGTCTTGTGGGCAAGCTGCTCCAAGATTTGGCGCCGCCGCAGATGCCCGCATCCCTGGTCATACTAATCGCACTCCAAGCCTCGGTATAGGACCGCAGAGCCAAGCGGGAACAGGGTTCGGGGAGTGGCCTACATATCTTTTCCCCCTTTTCGCGTAAAAATCCAACATACGACCCCGTCCTGTTTTTTTTTTTGCCCGAGATTTTCGTCCGTGTTTCGCGCTGTCGAACACCTGGTACAGACACGAAATTTTGGCTGCAACTGCGTCAGGCTGGTCTTTCTCTAGCTGCGCAACTGCATCAGGCTGATCTCTCAAACGCGTTCCCACATGCGAGAAACACGAAGAACCAACGATAGGTGGGAAAGTTCCCCGCGCGGCACTGCCGACAGCGCAAGAGAAGAAAAAAGTCCCGCCGGCAGGCAAGAACACCTGCCTCCGATTGTGCCACATAGCAGCGGTTTCATTTTGGAAACCTAAAGGCTTTCCCTGACGGGACGATGGACTGATCTAGTGCCGAAAACAAGAAGCACTGGCCAGGCAACCAGGCCATCAAAAACAGACAAGAAGAGGCTGCTTGCTCTGATCTCCCGCCCAATTTTTTTGCCTTTTTTTTCCCGTCATTTTCGCCCCGCAAAAAGGAGAAGCAGAGGCGCCGCGGCGTCTCGCTCACTCAAGGAAAACGGACAAATACAACGACACGCACACACACACACACACCTGGCGGCGGTGGGGTGCTGGGGTCAGCACGAACGGGCAACGAGGGGCCACAATCAAATGCGACACGCCCATGAACTCTCCACTACTGCTGTGCCCCGGCCGCAATAATAGTAACCGTGTACAACGACCCCGGAGTTGGATAGCAGCGGCTCGTGAGCCGTATATCAAAGCTCCGTCAAACCCGAGGGTAGTTTGCACGCCTTGCTTGGCTACACGAAGTCCAAGCACGAAACCTTGTCTACACAACCCTTTCATATGCCTCACAGGCGAGCGCCCGATGCTTCCTGCAGGCTACGCTATAATCACAATTAGTCAACAAAAGTCGTGCTCGTACGAATTGACTTTGACACCAGGTACTACGTCGTCTAACATGAGATTTGTCTACATGGAAAGGGGGTGAGATGGTGTGATGCAACTTGCCCCCAGTCTCATGCAAGTACCACACCCTGCTCTATATACCCACCAGAACTCTGTATTATAAAAACACTACCGTAGGTTGCATAAGATTACACACCCCCTGGATCGATTTTCAAACCTCGATTACTCCACGACCAAGAGCATGCCGAAGGCAAACGACACGTGTTCGGAAAGCTCTCGACGCGACGATTCCAACGCCGCCATTTTCGGCACCGTCGCTGCTTTCCCTGCCGAGTAATGAAGCTTTGAAAATCGATCCAGGGGGTGTGGTATCTTACGTCATGCAACCCACGGTATATTCTTGCCCAAAGAAAGTCGGAAGAACGGTTTCGAACAGGCACACATGGCAAAAAAAAAAGAGAACGCTTACTACGGGCGGTGAAACCGACGCGCGGTGGAACAGGCGTCACCAATAAGGGTGCAGACGACGGGCCGCGGCACGCCCTCATTCGAGGTCCGACGGCGGCCCCAATAGACACGAGTTCGTCCACGGTCTACAGAAGGGTTTGGGGTGCGATTGCCCCAAAAACAGTAAAAAATGGGCCATCTCTCTATCCCATCTTTTTTATTATTATTTAGACTACAAATCAGCGCTCACAGCATTTTTCGGCCGGGTAGGAGCTAGCTCCAATCTGTGGTAAAAACTTCCATCCCATGGAATCCGTTTCTCGAGCTGGTATAAACCGTTTCATCCGCTCTTCTTGCGGCACGCAAGCGGCGGAACCGGGTTCGTGCGAGCTTTACATCCTAGCACCGCGGTCTATGGCTCGGCTCGGCTTCGTCCGGCCTATTGCCGCTGCCACAGGAAGCCCGTCGAGGTCTGCAGGTCGCCGTTCGGGTCCAAGACGGTGGAGATGAGGTTGAAGGGGCCCTGGAGGCGCTTGTCGATGGTGACTACTCTCGCGCCGGACTTGAGGTCCAGAAGTTTCCTGGAAAGTTCCGTGAGGTAGATCCCCCTCTCCGTCGAGTACTTCGTTGCGTACGCGAAGACGATGTCCACGTCCTGGTGTTGGTACGTAATGTCGTGTTTCTTCGTGGATGAGTGAGAGAGAAAGGAAACAACACCCAGGAAGCATAATATTCCCACAAGAATGCAGTCTTTCTACGTAGTAAGCGTGCTATTCCAATACTGACAACGCAAGTTCGATTTCAAAACTACAAGGATAAAACAACGGGTGTGTGAGTATAATGGCGTGGTGCATCATATGGTGCCTTGCGCGAGCCACACCCAACCGGCCAAACTATGAAACTTTCAGCAACAGTGCTCTCGGAGGAGAGCGGAGAGCCTCACCGAAACATCGATCTCCTCGTCCATTTTTTCCCCCTGAACCAGCTCGATCGGCGCCTTGGGCCGCTTTAAGCCGCCGTACTTTCTTACGTACGTCTAGGGTGGTGATCGTGGATATGATATACAGCGTCGCCCAACGACGACAGGCAGTTGATTTAGCAGTGGCAGCGGCAGAGGTGTCAAGTGCGGAGGGAGAGAGAGAGAGTGAGAGAAGAGAGAGAGAGAGAAGAGAGAGAGAGAGAGCGAGAGAGAGAGCGAGAGAGAGAGAGAGAGAGCGAGAGAGAGAGAGAGAGAGAGAGAGAGAGAGAGAGAGAGAGAGAGAGAGAGAGAGAGAGAGAGAGAGAGAGAGAGAGAGAGAGAGAGAGAGAGAGAGAGAGAGAGAGAGAGAGAGAGAGAGAGAGAGAAGAGAGAGAGAGAAGAGAGAGAGAGAGAGAGAGAGAAGAG